TTTACACTTTACATTTGACATTGGCATGATGTACTCCGTAGTGCTGCAAACATTACCATTTAAGGTCTTTGCACACTTCCTAAAGTGTGAAGAAATTATGTTATGTAAATGTTTATTAGATTACTTATTAGGTACTAGGCATTCTGTAAAAGTGAGTTTTTGGGATAATTTTTATACTTTATTATGGCATAAAAAGTAAGGACATATTCTTAACAGAAAGTCTGAAATTCGTTCCTTATTTATTTATTTATTTTTTAAGAATTAAAACTAGTCAAGACCTTATTTGGGTATTCATGGCCAGCAGGGCAATACCTGTGAGATTTCCATGAGGAAAAAAATGCCCATCTTAAGAATTAAGGTAGGGGCCCGGGGTTGTGGCTCAGCCATAGCGCACTCACCTAGCACATGTGAGGCCCTGGATTCAATTCTCAGCACCACATAAAAAATAAGTAAACCAAATAAAGGTATTGCTTTCAACTATAACTAAAAAAAAAAACACAAAAACAACTTAAGGTAGGTAAGACAGACTGCTTAATTAGCCAAAAGTTGTGCTAACAAATGCTGTGAAGATCTCCTTGTTTTATTCCTGTTAGTGGATATTGCTTTCTTCTTTTTTTAGGGTTCCATTCTATTTTTTGCAGCTCAGCATGAAAGTACACTGACTAATGTAGTCTTCAATTTAGCTGTGTTCCTAGGACCATCTGTAAGAATTTATGCATTTCCTGGGAATCTGATCAATTCTAGCAGCAAAACTCTATTTTCTTTGGAAGATTAAGGAATTTTTAAATGAATTTTATGCTTAAAAGTTCATTTTTATTTGAAAAATTTGTGGGCCAAATGTCCCAAAACTCTTCTGTACTTTTTGAAATTGATTGGTTTGAATAATTCTCTTTTATGCAGATACATACAAACGTTCTTATATAAAGGCATAAATATCTTCCTATCACAAAATGTGTTTACTGTTTCTTTCTTCTTGGTAGTGTGTGTGTGCGTGTTTGTGTGTGAGACACTTGATTTTTCTTCTTCCCTTTTGTTCTTCATTCATACCTCTTGCCCCTGAGGGTAACACTTCTTGACAACCTGGTTTATATCCTTTTCTTTTATTTTGGTACTGGGGAATTGAACTCAGGGGCATTTGACCACTGAGCCACATCCCAGTCCTATTTTTAATAGTTCTATTTTGAATTTGACTGGGTCACACTGAGTTGCTTAGTGCCTCACTTTTGTTGATGCTGGCTTTGAACTCTCGATCCTCATGATTCAGTCTTCCCAGCCACTGGGATTACAGATGCATGCCACCATGCCTGGCTCCATTCATATTTTAGGGCGATGTAAACATACACATGAAAGTATTGCCCATGAAAGTGTTTTGAAAGTTATTGTGTACTTTTTTCTGCATCTTGATTTTCTCATTTCATAACACTACATGGAACTTTCCAAAGTTATCTGTTATAGTTGTTTTATTATTTTAATACTTTATAATAATTCAAGGTATGAACATATAAAAATTTAGTCAATCTTTACCCTGTGGCTGCTCACTTTTTTTTTTTCAAGTTAGTTTTTGTGCTACTGTGAACAAAGATATAATATGTATTCTTTTAAAATGTTCTTCAATACTACTGCTCAACTTTTTAATGGGATAGAGTCCCAAGAGTGGGAGCACTGGCCTAATAACTACTGGCATATTGCTTTTTCAAAAAGGTGGCAAAACAGACACTTCTACCAGTTCTGGATAAAATTATACTGTGTTCCATAAGTCACAATCAATAGGTATGTGTTTATTCAAAAAATAAAGTCCTTGTTCTCATCCTGTATACCTTAGTAGTCAAGGTAGAAGGTAAACAACCAAATAACATAATGATGTCACAAATCTGCTTGAAGAAAATTAACATAAAGAAATAGGAAGGGTATGGCCACTTTAAATAAGATGGCCATAGAGGGCCTGAGGTTCAATGAAGTAAGGGAGTGGGCCATAAATGGTAGGAAGCTTTCAGAGAGAAGGAATAGCAAATAGAATATATATCAAATAGAATTTATCAGCTTGACACTGTGTGCATAGGCAACAGGGAGACTATGGAGGAAGCAAGAAGACCAGATGGGAGGTTACTGCTGGAAGAGAGAGATGTGGGGAATTGGATTGTGTGGCAGCAGTGGAGATGGTGAGAAGTAGCCGAATAAAAGATACTTCTTAAAGACAGAGCTAAGAGGAGGTGCTAACTGGCTATGAGGTGTGAGGGAAACAGATGAACATTAATGACTCATGGGCCTTTTAAAATTATCTTTGTATAGACTTACAGAAAATTTGCAAACATCGCACAGAGAATTCCCATGACTTGTTTGCCCAGCTTTTCCTAAAGTTAACCTCTTATGTCACCATGACATACTGGTCAAAACTGAGAAATGGTCACAGGGTAATCTTAACCAGAGGATAGACTCTTCAGATTTTAGTTTGTCCATGAATGTCATTCTTCTGATCTAGGATCCAGCTGACCAGGAATACTATGTCAAATTGAGTCATAATGCTTCCATAGTCTCCTCCGTCTGTGACAGTTGCTTAGTCTTTCTGTTTTCATGATGGCAACTTTTTGAAGAATATGTCAGGTTTTGTAGAATGTTCTTAAATTTTAGCATGTGTGCATGTGTGTGTGTGTGTGTACAAAACAGCTTGCTAATTAAACTCACATTGAAGGTGGGGAAGGTTGGGAATTAGGCTTCATTTCTTGAAAATGGAGTATCTATGTTTTGAAAATATTTTGTAAGAATATTTATGAAGTTATTTATTTACGACTTATAGATATTGATTTTATTCTTTGGTATAATCTAAAGCTATTTTTACTTACTTTTTGTTCCAAAAATTAGCTGAACTTGGACCATTAAGAGCTCTTTCAGATCTCTTGTGACTCTTGCCCCCTCCTTATTTTCTGCATTACACAATGTTTCAGTTACGTCTTGTATTTCCTCTGCCTCAGTCCTAGAATCAGCCATTTCCCTAATGGACTATTTTCAATATGAGCAGTTGTGTAAATGGTGATGCCATTTACTGAAATAGAATAGCCTGAAGGAGGAGGAAACTTGTAATTTCTCTTGTGCACCCCCCCACCCCACCCCCTGCCTCTTCCTTCATTCAATATAGATGGCAGTTGAGGAAAGTAGAGTATCTTTTTCTGAAAACTTTTGCTATAAAATGAAACAGAGAAATGGGGTAATAATGGTGAAATGGAGAGGTCACCTAAGGGAAAACAATTTAGTTTTTTCAAGAGAACTTATGTCACATTTGCATACATATGGGAACAATCCAGAAAAATGGATGTGGGAGAGAAAGGGTATAATTGAAGTAGTAAAATTCTGGGTTAATGAAAGGAAACGGAAACTATGGCTCCAGATTGGGGATTGACCTTAGACAGGATAGAGAAGTTCCTCAGTTATAATAGGACTGAAGGCAGACAATAGAGATACAAATATCAAGAGTTTAAAGGATGTAGTGGAAGGAAATGGAGGAAATTGAATTGTGGTTCTTTCAATTTTCTTAGAAGCAATGTCATAAACTGAGAGTAAGGAGGTGGGAAGGAATGTGGGAGGACTGAAGAATCAAAGGTGCCCTTTTGAGTGGTATTATAGAATCAAAGCATGAATTAACGAGGGAAATAGGGTAAATTGCCAGATATTACTGGGGACCCACATGAAGTCTGTGGTCATATATTCAAAGTTATGCCAATAACCCAATATTCTGCACTATCGCTACTGACATTTATTTGTTCAGCACCTAAAGGCAAGTTCATAGCAGGAAGAAAGCTGAGTTTAGCCAGGTGTTCTTGTTTCATGTTTTCTTTTTAATTTTTTGGTTACAGTAGTTTGAAGGAAAGAGAGGGCAAGGATTAGCTGAGTATAGGTGCACATGAGAGGCTACCATGATGAGTCTTTCTTTTCTTTTTTTTTTTTTAAATGTTTTTATTAGTGCTTATACTTATACATAATGGCGACGTTTAACTTTACCTAATCATACATGCACAGAATATAATGTGCTCCATTGCAGTCCCAACTGTTTCTTTTTCTGTCTTCCTCCCTACTTCCTTCCTACCGTTCCTCTTCCTCTACTCAACTGACCTTACCATCTATTTATTTTTTATAATTGCTGCTTTATAAATATGCATAAAGGTGAGATTGTGTTATGTTCATATATGTACATAGCATAACTTGCTCAATTTCATTTTGCAATTCCTCCTTTTTCCAGTACTTCCTGCCTCCCCCTAATCACCTTCCTTGACTCCTCTGATCTACCTTGTGTTTTTCTGGAATCCACCCCCCACCTTTTCCCCTTATTTTGCTCTAGCTTCTGCATATGAGAGAAAACATTTGACCTTTGTTTCTGAGTCTGGCTTATTTCACTTAGTATGAATTTCTCTGTCCTACCTAAGGTCAATCACTAATTTTGAGCCATAGTTTCCATTTCCTCTCACTAATCCAGGCTTTTACTACTTCAATTATACCCTCTTCAGTTCTATCTCTTTACCAGAAAATGCCATAATTTCATTCTTATTTATGGCCGAGTTAAAACTCCATTGTGTGTGTGTGTGTGTGTGTGTGTGTGTGTGTGTGTGTATACATACTACATTTTCTTTATCTTCTCATCTGTTGATGGTCACCTGGGTTGGTAATATCTTTCCAATAATTTATAGTTTTCTGGAGGAATCATCTACTTTTTTAGGTTTTAAATTTTTATTTAAATTGTCATCTAGATTATCTTCCCATGCCTTTGAATTTACATTTAAAAATTTTAGAGAATTGTTTGCACACTTCAGCACTGATGATTGAATGGAAGAGTCTCATGTTGATCAATTTTTTTATGACTTTTGTGTTTACTGAAATAGAATGACTAAATGTTATCGTTTTTTAAGAAACATTTTTGTCATGTGCTACAGATTTTTATATTTCAGCACAGGTTTTTAAAAAATGGAAATTCATTTTTGTCATTTGATAAATGAATGGATTAAAATCTGCATATGTTTTTGATGACCATAGTTCAGCATTGTGTGAAGGTTCAAAATCGGAGTGGTATTCTTAAAGGATAAAAGTAAATAGAATCATCATGACTGTCACTGGGTTTTTTTTTTTTTTTCTTTTCTTAAAAAGATAGGGTCAAACTTTACATGGCGGATTGGCCTCTTCTGCTAGATTCCTTCTTCCTACATCCTTTGCTTCTGTCAGGAAGCTGTCCCTTAGAGTACACAAGGCTTTTGCTGGCTGCAGGCATATTAATTAAGCAATGCTGTATCTGAGATGCAGTTGTACATAAATTGAACTATTACACTGAATTTACAAGATTTGTTGTCACTTTGAAAACACCAGACCTCTACTTGTGTTCACAGACCAATATTCCCTTTTGAAATATTTATACTGTGATGTGAGGCAGACAGCAGAAGTTGTCCACTTAATGTTCTCAAATTTTGTGATTCTGGGAAAAATGTATATTTTCAATATCCCAGTATTTGCGAGAAAGTTTAAAAGGTAGAAATAACATAAGAACATTTCAAAAAGTTATATATCCTTAGAACTAAACACTGAATTGCCTATTGAAATAATATATTATAGTTCAGGCAAGGCTATCACTGGCATATGACCTTCAGTGACCTTAGTGCTAGCTAACTTGGCTACTGATTGAAACATGACAACAAGAGCTTTGTGCCCCACTGACCTACTAAAGGTGCCCTTCAGAGATAATGTTGAAAAGCATGGGAGAGTGCCTTGACCCTTCCCACTCTAGGTGACTTCTGGAATTTGTAGGATAACATGCACTGATACTCATGGGCAACTAGAAAAGTGAGGGATCTGGGACAGGAGAGGTAGACCTTTCTCCTTCTCTCTGCAGGATGACAATTTTGAGGAGTTTTCGTGAATCAAGAGCTGGTTCTCAGAGACTTTCTCAGCAGAGCCTCAAATACTAGAAAAGACCAGATGTAAATCATTAGTGTGAGGTGCAGATTTCTAATTGATGGCCTAGGTTTATGTTCATTTTATTTTTCATAGGATGCATAATTGACACCTGACAAGGATTCTTTAGTAAGCCTAACAAAGCCTTGCAAAGACATGGGACACATTTACATAAGTATACATATTGCCAGATTTCTACAAGTTTTAGCCTTCTCAAATATTTTTCATTGTACCTTGGATGGTTACAGTCATCCTCAGTTTGGTCCCAGATGTCATTTATCACTGCTTAGCCCACTCACAGGAGAAAGAGCCCACTCATGTTTGATAAAAGACAATGCTGCACCATCCAACTGTTCTTTATTACCTCATAAAGACAGGATTCCAGCAAAATGGCAGCTCACACTAATCTCGTGTAGATCACCACTGATGTGCCCAGAGGGCTTGCAAAGGAAGAGCAGCAGCCCCTAATCATCCTGAGGTGTATTTTCAGGGATGATTTCTCTGCAGAATTGCCTGAGAGTGAGTGTTGTAGAAATCTTAGCAGCACAGCTCTAAATATTCTCTCCTGCTCATCTGTGAACATACACTGACTTACAGAGTCTCACACAGCCAAGGTCCTCAATTCTTAGCCACTGGGAAAAAGGTGCTAAAATTGGAATGGTTTCTCACATCTACTACTATGCATTTTGCACAGAGCTGGAATTGATCCCAGATCTCCAATACTTAGACCATTGTACCAAATGTGATTTGTTTTTCCAGAGACCTCCTTCTTTTGTGGTGGACTCTCGGCTTGTGGCTCTACTGTCTCAGAGTCAGTCCTGTTCATAAGGTTTATTTTTACTTACTTGACCTTCAAACAGGTTGCAGTTTGAGTCCCCTTTTTTGCATAGATAAGGGCACTCTGTCTACATTACATACTAATTGCTGGTATGTAGATTTAGATCACTAGATTTCACTTTACTTTTGCTTTTCTAAATGTAATAATACCTTAAATGCCAAAAGAATGTCTTTTAATTGTTTATAAAATACAATTATGTTTTTTATTTAAATCTTAATAATTGATATGCAAAAATAATTTCTTCATGTGGACTAAGCTACACATCACAAATAGAGTTAATTTTCTTATAAAATAAGGAGCTTGAATAAGATAGCATTTCCCTAATGTTTTATAGAAAAAAAGTTTTAGTTTTTTTAAGTGAAATTTCAATAGGTAAAAATGATAATACAGAATTCATTGTTTCTTTTTCTTTTCTTTTTTTTTTTTTTTTTTTTGGTACTGGGGGTTGAACCCAGGGCCTTGTGCTTAAAAGGGAGCTGTATCTCTAGCTTCCAGAATTCATTTTTATTAATAAGAAAATTTAAGTGGAAATTATGAATGAAATTTATAGACATATTCTACTCAGTATCCAATTTACTTTATTAGTTTGCTTTAGTTACAAATAATTTATATATATATATATATATATATATATATATAATATATATATATATATATATATATATATTTTATTTACCTTTTAGTTTTCGGCAGACACAACATCTTTGTTTGTATGTGGTGCTGAGGATCGAACCTGGGCTGCACCCATGCCAGGGGAGCACACTACCGCTTGTGCCACATCCCCAGCCCCACAAATAATTTTTTAAGTTTATATTCAATGGACATATTTTGAAGATTGTTAGTACACTAGTTTTGTGGTAGGCTTTTAATTGTTCGATGTGCAGTCTTAGGATATTTGTCTTTACCAAAGAAAACTCAGAAATTTATGGTCTGAAATATTCCTTAAAATGATTGCAAGGCTGATTCAAGTGATTTCTTCAACGGTCTCCAGTGTGCCATCATTTAAGTTTGAAATGCTCTCAGTGGAATTTTAAGATATTTAAAATTATACTTTAAGTTAAATTTTGAATCCATCTTTCTGACCTTAAGTTCTGCTGAATCTGGGGTTCCTCAGAACCAAGCTGGACTTAATAACCTTTCCTAACTCTGTAATTATAAGGACTGCTTGATATTTCTATGCTATTTTTGCAAATATCATTGATATTCAAGTTTGTCCCAAATCTTTATCTCAGAATATCCATCCATGTAGATATTCATAAAGTTTAGAAAAAAAGAGGGCCCTGGAGACATAATTTTCCTGAGATAATTTTTCTCTTAACGATTTTTGACACTTTTTTGTTTGTTCATATGATCAGTGTAAGTTGCTTGCTTAGGGTAGTTCTTCATTCATTAGCACATGTGATATTTCTACTCTAGCTAGTGTCATTGTGATTATTGATGGTTCAGATCTGCCTACTACTAAAAAACAATAAATTACACTTCACAAGTTTCTCTACATCATTTCCAAGGTACTACCTCATTTTCTACATTTTTATATGGACATAATATTTATCTTAACATTTAAGAGTGGAAGATTAATTAATGACCTAGAAAGGGTGATTATACTTTAGTTTGGTAAATAAAATATATATCATTACTGTGAGGATGTTGTCATCTCTTCAGATTGTTGCACTAATCATTTTAAATTGTGTCATTGTAATTTTTAAAAAAGATTGTGTAAATATATATGTACTGAAAGTATGTTTTGTTCTGTTTAAAAACCTAAGTTATTTTAAAAGCTGTAAACTTTTACATTGATTTAGAATTCAATAGCTTTTCTTAAATAAACAAAAAATAGCATACTCATCATGATTTTCATCAGTAATCAAAACCTATAACATTTTGTTTGGTTTTCTTAATTTTTATCAGATATGAATCTTCTAGAGTCTAGAAATTGTTTAAATCTAAAGTGTAAGTTATTAGAAATTTACTAACTTCTTCTAAGAAGAATTTTTGCTCTACTCTAAATTATGTAAAATATGAATCACCATTTCTATAGTAAATTAAACTTTACTTATATTCCAAGATAAGTATGTAAAATTTCTATTTTCACCTTGTAGTCAGCTTTACTCTTTGAAAATATAACCTTTTGTAACACTGAGGCATGTTTTCCTTTTTAAGGAAAAAATAAGGAGATATCAACAGACTGAAAGAATGTTTCCAGAGGCATAGAGTCTTCCGGGAAACACTGGAGTTCATGAGATCTGAAGGTTAGCAATTTATGCATTATTACTGCCATGCTTTTTAAAGTTTGGATATATAAATGTGTAATTGTTTCACGAGTTGTTGATGCTAATGTGTACTTAGATTTAAGGGAAATGTTCTTACCAAAAATAGATGTTTTTAACAAAATTTTCTTGATCTTTGCAAATATATTCATACAAGAAATGGACTCTTTAGTTACATTAGTTATGGCTGAAAAAAATATTGTCTTAATAGAAAACTACTGGTTATTAGAATTTGCTTCACTTTTAAAGGATATCACTATGAGCATAAAATAGATATTAGGCATTACTATAGATTTTTCTTTCTTATAATGTTTTTCTGTTAAAGAATGTACACCTAACTAGTGAATTTGTCATTCCTTTTGTATTTTTGGCTATAATGTACACACATGTGCACATATAATTCAGGATAGCTGATCAGCAATCCTTTCAACAGTCTTTGAACCCCAGTATTCTTTAGTTTGGAAAATGTGTCTTCTATAAAATGTCAGTTAATTTGAATAAGTAAGGATCTTGGGTATCTGGTCTAAGTTGTTTAAAGTTATAAGACTAGAAGAGAAAAAATAAGTAGACCCATTATTAAACAGCTTATATTAACAACTAGTATAAAATATTTATTTAGAATTTATAATTACAGTATAGGTTAAAATGGTTCATTCTTATATATAGCTTTAAGAAATGGATGGTTTCTGGTTATTTATGTCATGATAACCAAAGTCATGTGTTTATAAATTTAAATAAAAAAGTATTGGTAATCTTTTATTTTTATTTGTTCAGGCTTAACTTTAATCTCTGTTTTTTTTTCCCCTCATTCACCCAGGAGTTTTTTCATTTATTTAGTATGTACTATATATAAGGCTGTGGAGTAAATGTTTGGGTTGTTTCAAAATGAATACGATATAGTTCCTATTGTCAAAAAGTGCCCAGTGACTATGATACCCAGAAATTAATTTGGTTATTAACTCAAGCAATGCATAATTAAAAAGAAAAATTAGATTTTGAAAAGTCTTGTAATGCATTCTAAAATCAAATGGAAATTTTGGGGGCATTATTTTGATGTTCACATATGTATTTTTTAAGCCTAGAAAACAGTTTATCCCAATGAGAAGTTTGCTCCATTAAAACCCACCAGTGACTTTTTATTAAAGTGGTTCCTCAAGTGCAGCACAAGTAAGGGATAAAAGATTCTAAGAAAGAAACGTGTCTCTTTTGCTACAATTACAAATTTAACATTGTGGAAAACAGTTGTGCAAACAACTATGAAAATAACAAAGAAAGATAGAGCTGCTTGTTTGTTCTTTTTTTTTTAATCCTAGTATATTCAATTTCTTTATAAGCTCAGCAGAGAATTAAATAATTTCCCCAATGACCCAGAAAGACTTGTAGGTTTGAAAGGGACTGAATGCTATAACCTCCTAAGGGATCAAATGCAAATAGTAGCTGTGATAGTAAAGAGATTGGAAATGAAGTGAGAGCTGAGATTCTGCTTGAAATGAAATTGGTCACCATTGTGTTTCTCAAGAGAGTATTTTTTTTTTAAGGTGATGCCTTATGATGTTAAAGTAAGTCAAGTAATTGAAAGAAGTAAAGTTCTTTTAATGAAAAGTCAGTGAGGACATTCCATGCCTAATTGTGCCATTAGACAAGTAGTTTAATTCACTTACATAACATCCATAGGCATTTAGTAAATATGTATCAAGTGCCTACTATGTGTATGGGCAACAGTGGGCAAGAGGGAAAGCAATGAGTAAAGTTCACCAAGTGCCTTTGTAGAAATTACATGCTGCTGGCAGGTTGTAAGTAATTAAAAAAGAAACCCAAAAAACCAACAGATATTATGTTTGATGGTTCTAAGTGTCATGAGAAAAAGATAAAAAGAAAGGAAATACTGAGTGTAAAAACAGGTGGGACTTTAAGAGCAGCCAAATGACTTAGTAGTACGTAATTTATATATAAGAAATAGATATCGCTTGTCCATACAATGCCAACTAAAAACAAACATGAGGAAATACAACACCTGATGGCAAATTTCCTAAATCATCATTAGTTAAGACATATATTGTTAATGCATGTAAAATAAGTAGTATGTGTCTTCCTCAAGTTCACCAGAAAAATATTATTTTTAAAAATGACAGTCTATTTACTCCATGTATTCAAAGCATCATATTATTTGAAATAAAGAAGTATACAGTGGAACACAGATTGCCTGTTTA